TAAAAATGTTAGTATTTTAAAAAATTAAATTGCCTTATTGTTCCAATCTGTCTCATCTGTATAAAAACCTTGTACATCCTTGAAATTGGTTCCAAGGACACTGGCTTTGGAGGCTAGAAGATGGGTCTAGTAATTAATTCCCATGTTAGCATAAATAGCCATAGCCTGAAGGAACACTGGAACTCACACAAGGTCCCAAATAAATCACGGATCACACAATTAATATTACAAAGTGGTTGACAACCTGTTTATTTTGGCCAGGAATTCCTGCCTCTTCAGTTGTGTTTCTCTGAAGGTATCTGTAGTTAGCTAAGAAGTTTTGTGAAATTTTCAGAATAAATTCCCTACAAATCTCATCCAGTGGAAATATATTATATACCTGCTTTTTTTTAACTGGGAGTTTGGAGTTGGAGGGGTTTGAGGAAGGGGATATATCAACATCAAATAAGCAATTGCATTTTGCAAGTCCTCAAAGGTTGACTTCTGCAGCACTTGCTAGCTGGTTGACTCATTGTTTAACACCTAAACAATTGCTGGTAGAGTACAGCAGCAGTGCCTTCCTGATTGACCTTCTGTAACATTATCAGGCACATACTTCAAAAAGTTAATTACAAAGGAGAAAAAAATTATACTTTTAAAAAGGACAGTAGGCAACACTAAGGAAATACACATTTTTAAATGATTTATCCATTCATTAGTTGTAAGAAATATATCATTGCAACTTTAGTTTCTAATGGCCAGAGAAATTAGGTATCAGGCGCAGAGAAACTTCATATGTCTTTACATAGTGTACCCCAGAAATATGCACAAAGATTAGGTGTCAATTTTAAAATGAATGTTTTCCAGAAAAGTAATAAAAATCTATCCCATGTATCAAAATAACAAATAACAAATTAGCCATAAAGTAAGCTACAATATATAAAGTAGCCAAATGACTTAATATTTAAATGTTTAAATATCTACATAATCCAGCCACTTTACATCTAGGTATTCAGCCATGAAAAAAGCAAAATATGTGTATGAAAATACATATATATGAATTTTCACAGTAGCTTTATTTGTAATAGTCCCAAACTAACAAACTTAAATGTCCATCAATAAGTGAATGAACAAGTAAATGATTATATCCATAAATCAGCACTCATTAATGAAAAGAAGCTATTGATACACATAACATGCTGGATAAATCTTGAAATAAATGTGTTAAGTGAAATAATGTTGACAAAAAGGAAGTATATATGACATAGTTCTGTATATATAAAACTGTAGAAAATTCAGACTGATTTATAGTGACAAGAAGATTAGTGTTGTGGGAAGGTTTTCAAAGGGGCAGCAGGAAACAAGGGGTGATATCTTCTTTATCTCAATGGTTTCACCGGGCACACATATATCAGTCAGCCTGTATAGATTGTGCACTTTAAATTGTGTGTTGTTTATTGCATGTCAATTAGACCTCAATAAAGCTGTTCACTTTTTTTAAATCCACTCAGTCATGTAAAAGAAATGGGAGATAATTACTTTAGGTTCATTTAATTGCTATCTTTGGTTGTGAAATAGAGCCCTGAGCTTGCTGGTAATAGAAACTCTACTGCTAATTAACTAACTGCTACCTATAACTGCTCTTTTGGGGACAAGTTTCTTTCTTGGAAAAATTGAAGAGTGGCTTCTAAAGTCTTTTGCAGGTAGATAGGTTGATGATAATCATAAACAAGTATCTTCTAAAACAATTTAAATGAAATTCACATTAATCTCAAGCAAATTTAAACTTGTTATTGCCTAATGAAATGTTGCTAACTAGTAATCTTAAAATTCAAATGGAAATTAATACTCAAGAATTATTTGTAACTTGTTAGTTCTATAAAAAATGTACTCACTACCTTACTTATGTAACAGTAACCCCTCTATACATCACCTTGACAATTAAATTTTAAAAAAATATTTGTAATATATCAGTTTTTTCTGAAAGTCTACTCTGTACCAGGCAACTAATAAGAAGTGATTAGAAGTGATTTTTCCCCCCTGGTCATGGGGCCTGAACTCTGCAAACACTCTACCACTGAGCCACCTTCCCAGCCCCTAGAAGTGATTTTTTGGGGGGGGTCCAGTCATAGGGCCTGAACTCTGGGCCTGGGCACTGTCCCTCAGCTCTTTGGCTCAAGGCTAGCACTTTACCTTTTGAGCCACAACTCCACTTCCAGCTTTTTTCTTTTTGCTTATGTGGTGCTGAGAAATCGAACCCAGGACCTCAGGCATGCAAGGCAAGCGCTCTACCACTGACCCACCTTCCCAGCCCCAGTGATTTTTTTAAAATAAGCTTTTTACTGTGAAAATGCTGTACAGAGTGGTTACAGTTACAGGAGGAAGGTAATGAGTACATTGTTGCCTCCTCCCTTGTTTTTCACCCACCATCCCTTCCCTCCCACCTACTACACTCTACCCCCACTCCACCCCACCTAAATTGTAAAGTTTTTCAACATAGCATCTTGTACATCTCATTGTTGCAATGGGTCAACCTTAAGTAGCGTTATTGAAACAAAGCTCATGTGTCATAAAATTTACCTATACACCAATATGAATCCTAGAAAATCATGTATTATATGTTAACTTCTATTTTTCCTAATGAGCAGAAAAATACTTCTGAACACTTTAGTTGTCAACCCCATCCCTCTATCTTGCCCCACCAATCCAAAAGCAACCAGTCAGCTACTTGACATCTCTATAGATTCGCCTGTTTCAGACATCTCAAACAAATAAAACCATATTATAGTTGGTCTTTTGTCACTGACCTTGTTCATAGTAAATCACATTTATAAGGTTCACACATGTTTTAGCATATATTAGTGTTTCAAACATTTTTATGGCAAATAATATTTTTTTCTTTGAACATATCACCTTTTATTCATTCATCAGTTGACAGACACTTAGGTTGTTTCTACCTCTTGTCTATTATGAATAATGTTGCTGTGAACATCCAAGTACAAGTCTTGGTAGGAAAGTATGTTTTGATTTCACTTTGTTATCTACTAGGAGTTATACTGTGGTACCATATGGCAACAATATGCTTAAACCTTTGAGGACTTGCCTAGCTGTTATCCAAAGATATTGCACCAATGGACATTTCTACAAGCCATTAAAGAGGTTTACAATTTTTCCCCATCTTCACCAACACTTAATGTAAAGTAATATATTTTTAAGACTCAATTTAAATGACACACTCTCCTTCTATAGTTTGCATCCTATTTTTCTAGCTTGCATGTACAAAACTTCAGACATTTGTTACATATATTATGTCATTAATTGCCTTTCATTCTTGAACAGCCTTATAAAGTATGTTTAAATAGCTAAGTGACAAAGCTAAGATCTCCCCAAAAGTGTCTTATCCTAAATTCTCAAGCTCTCTATTGCTTTATTAATTTTCTAGTCATTCACCAGCAATTTCATTTTCTTATTTTTATTTTTAAAGTCAATGTTGGTTGTATTTATCATGGAGTAGGATTTCAGTCATTGTTGAGATAATGAATGGTGGATACCCACAGTTCACTAGATTCCATTATTTCCTAGATTTTATTGGGAAATGTGCAAAGGACAATTCTACAATAGTTTAGAGAAAAATGTCCTGTTGAACTAACACACAATCCCATTCTAATACCTGTAAAGTGACTCTGGTCTATAGAATTTACCAGCAATTTTAATAACATGGCTGTTTTATTGCAACTCCCCTAGTGAGTAGGAAGTTGGTTTTGATTTGTGTTGCCCTAATGAATAGTGATGTAAAGCACATTTTCATACATATTTTCCCTAGGAATATCTTCTGATAGTCACTATTTGCATAAGCCCTCAGAGTTCATGGACTCTTTATTTTATAAATTTTTGATTAGATGTATCAGGTGGACACATAAAGATTATCATGGGAGTAATTATGAAGCATTTTAATTGTTGTAATATTATTCAGTATACTTGCCTTATGCATGTTACTTTATATTTAAGACATCCTGCAGCTGGCAAGCTGGTGTGTACCTGCAGTTGTGAAGGTGCATGGGAGGCTGAAATAAAAACATCCCTAGAGACTTTAATGTTTGAAACCAGCTTAGACAACATAGAGAGACCCCATATAAGAAAGAATAAAAGAAAGGAAGCAAGGGAGGGAGGAAAGAAAAAGGAGAGAAAAAAAGAAGAAAAAGAAGAAAGCTAGAAGAATACATATTAACATAATTTTATTGAAATGATAGACTGATATCTGTTACATGACTATTAGTGAGGATGGAGCAAGGGTATCCCAATTGCTATCAAAAAGAGGAACACAAAGTGTGCATCAGTGTCTTTGAAGCCATGGGGTATTCCACAGTCTGAGTGCAGTAGGAAAGTTCACAGACCTTTGATACTACACATGAGAAGGTAGTCTCAGAAAGAAAACACAATTGAATTAAAATGTTATCTATACACCAGGAAGTAATCTGGCTAACAGGAGAGTGAAAATGGTGTACAATGGTGTGAAAGGGAAGGATCAGTCACTTCCAGGAAAAGCAACAGAAGTTGAGTAAAGCAGACACTTCAACAAGCATCTAGAATGACTTCGGTAGAGTATCAGTTTTATACTGCCCCTACAGCTTTACACTTATGACATATGAAAGCTGTCTATTCTCCATGGTATAAATGAACATTTGCCTAGTGTACTAAGGAGTCACCTGCGAAGTTTAGACCTTTGTTGTTACTGGATAGAGTAACAGTGGCTAAGCTATGAAAATGCAAAGCTTAGATAGTGTTGAGAGTGTTGTTACGCCGTGTTATGTATTGTAGGAACTTCAGAAAACCTTCTTATATTAGAGGCTTACAAGTTTGCATTTCTTAAGATAGTCACTCTTGGTCTGTTCAACAGATCGTCTTTTAGAGACTGGCTTCATTTGAAGTTGCAATTAAAATCCCAGGCAGAATCCTCTTCAGGATATTTTATTGCTTAATTGCAAAGACAGCAGAGAAAAATAAGCAATTCAATTTTATACCTTATTTCACCTTCTCTAATGTGACCTGCCAATTCTTCAATAAACTTCTCCCCTTTCATCCAGTAGATCATTGGCCCAGATTCTCCACTGAATCCAAAGAATGCTTTGCATGGTATGTTTAGAGGCTTACCTGAAAACAAAAGAAACAGAAATGAGCAGAGGACACCTCGTTAAAACTGGCTTATGAGAGTGGCCCTTTAACATTCAAAAGAAAACTTAGGGATGAACCATTTTCCAGCCCTTTCCTCAATCCTGTTATTATTGTCAAGAAAAAAAGAAAATTATTATGAGGACTTCTAGGAAATTTTAAAATTCAAACTACCATAAAGGTGAAAAAAAAGTTGCACAGTTTTTGTAACTTTTATTTGCATTGCCCACCTCCAGGAACTAACAGCAAAGAATCAGATAGAAAGAATCTCTTTAAAAATTTTTGAGAGAATTGAGTACTACTTACTTGGACTTGTGTTGAACACAAATAATATTCAAAAGTACAAGTTAACTCTGGATTCTTATTCTGATTGTGTTAGGAAAACTTGGATAATGCAGTGACGGTTAACTTTAGGTGTCAAATTGAGTGGAGTATGGCAAGATAGTTCGTAAAGTGTTATTTCTGGGCATGTCTGTGATGGTGTTTCCACAAGATACTGACATTAGAGGTGGTGTCTGAAGTGGACAATGTCTAATCTGCTGACAATCTAGACAGAATAAAAAGGTACTACAAGGGAAAGTTCACTGTTTCTTCTCCTGCCCTTGATCATAACCTCAAGCTCTCTGTTGTTTGGACACAGGATTTGCATCAGTAGCCTCTGTAGATTTTGGCTTTCAGCTTTGGACTGAAAGCTACATGAGTTTCCTTAGTTCTAAGGCTTTACTACTCAGGCTCAGCCATGTTTCTTTCCTAGTTCTCCAGCTTGCCATACTCTGTTGTGGGACATCTCAGCTAAATCTTCAATAAATTGTCTATCTACCTATCATATAATTGGCTATGCCTTCCTGGAGAATCCTGATTGGTATACAAACTGAAGGAAAAATTTGAATTACAAATGTATCTATATATCTATAAAAGGGATACACAGGAAAAACTCAGTCATATTAATTTTACATTCTTTTTTATAATTTACAATGCTTAAATAATTATAGACAGTATTCTAGCACTTCTTACCATGAGTATTAATTTTGGTTGTAAATTTCTCATCAAATATATAAACAATTTTATATTTTCTGACAATGATTATAATTTCTTATTGCAGAGTAGACTATTAAGGGGATAGTGGTATAGAATATCATCCTAATATTTTATACAAGACTCCCTCTATTCATAAATTATAACACATTATTTTATCCATAAAATTTATTTTTTGGCCTTAGTTAGACAATGGGAAAAAGCAATTTTGAAACGTTTTGTTCCTTATGAAATTTTAGGTAGACTTGTTCCCATTATTATTCTGAGGCATTAACAAATGCCCAATCATACATTTGAAATGATCCAAACTTCCTTGTTCTAAGAACCACTGCTTTCTGAAAGCAAATTCTTTTAATTACCACAACTGGAAGATAGCATTCTTTTGGTACTATTTTTTATTTTACAAAGGAACAGAGTTGATATCTACACTAAGACAAAGTCACAAATGAACCTCCTACACACACGGATACAGTGTGGCAGGCTGAGTTTATCCATAAATGATTTGTTAGCAAATATTAGTTTTATTACAATGTCAATTCATCCCCCAGCAAAATGACATGTCCTAAAACGTTTGATCTTTCTGCAGTTGGCAAATGCCTCAATGTCAAAAGGCTGACCATATTTCTTATACAAATGTAAAATAAGGTTATTTGCTGTTGCTTCAAATACATGTTCCACATAGGGTTGTCTAAAAGTGAGATAATCTTGTGTTGTGGAAAGTACTGGACTGAGAGTCAAGAAACTTGGATACTAGTTTGGGATCTGTCATGAACAAATACACTGGCACTGGACCAATTACCACACTGTATGTATAATGATCTTTCTTATATGTAATGAGGATGGTAGTAATATTTGTGAGGCTCAGATAAGAGAATGTATACAAAAGTGCTTGGCAAACTCAAAAACCTCATTGAATTTATGAAGTTGGGTCAGAGAAACAAAAGTCAAATTTGAGGCACAATCAGATGTAGATATTGAGCTAGATATGTGCTCATTTTTACCTTGCCAAGCTCATGTTCTCCTTTTGAGTTGCTAGAAACAATATCTTTCATCAATATTCGGTAATTCACTCCCACAATCCCATGATTCTAAAGGATATACGATGCATCCTAGCAAGCCCTGAATTCTCTAAACTTGAACACAAAGATTTCCTATGTTTTGTTACCCTCATTCTCATGAAATAGAAGGTATTAATGAACAGCAAACAAATTGGCAGAAAATCCAGAGATTGTGATAAACATTACTGTAAAGGGTCCCCATTAGTAAAACTACTATATACATTTATACACATAAATTTTGGGTGTCATTCATTTGAGCTATGTCGAAAGAATATAGGAAATAAAATACCTTTTAGTGTTTCCTAGCGTGTGAGTACTCTATCCTTGTTTGGTTTTAATGTAAAAAGACAATTATAGAAACATGCAAAAGAATCTTCTTGCCGTGGTTCACTAATTACAACCGTGTCTGCCCTATCTTTGGCATAACATGCAAGGTACTATTGGAGATATTTCTTCTAAGAGCAATGGTTTTCTTCTCTCATCAGACTGTTTCTTCTTAAATGAACACAAGAGACAGTTTTTCAGCAGTCTAGTTTCTATATATTAAGAATATCCTGAAGATTTTGTCAATGGCCAAAATCAAAGGAGACAATTTTAACTATCATATGTAACACTCTGAGGAAAATCCTGAAATCATCAGTTCACTGGTCAAATATTGATATATTCTATTTGTGTCAGGAAGTGGCCCCTCCTCTTCCAAAAGTCACAAGAAGGATCTCTGCATTGATTGGGTAAACAATCTGAAAGAGAGTCTGTCCAGGCATTTCTCCAATTTGGCTTATGTGCCAAATCCTGACTACCAGTGGCATCAGCGAACTACTGTACTGTTTTGCCTCCAGAAATTTTGAAAGTCATTCTGTTATTGCATCCAAGGTAGTTTAAGAGTATCAAAATAAAAAAGAACTTTGTGGAGCTGGGCGCTTGTGGCTCACACCTGTAATCCTAGCTACTCAGGAAGCTGAGATCTGAGGATTGCAGTTCAAAGCCAGCCCGGGTAGGAAAAGTCTTTGAAATTCTTATCTCCAATAAACCACTCAGAAAACTGTAAATGAAGCTGTGACTCAAGTGGTAGAGCGCTAGCCTTGAGCTGAAGAGCTGAGGGCCAGCACCCAGGCCAAGAGTTCAAGCCCCACGACTGACAAAAAGAAAGAACTTTGTGAATTGGTACATCTGTGCTAAGTAATGAGGTAACCGAGGCTTTATGTAAAGTGCCTGATTCTCTGTTACCTTAGTATTTCTCTAATTTCATTTCTCAGAGAGTTCTCTGAGAATATACGTTGTGAGAAGGTTATTTAAAGAGCTGAAAAATCTAGAAATCCCAATAAGCTTAAAATTTCACAGTCATGAATTTCCTTTATTCTACTTTTAAGTACTTTGTAAAAGCCTTCTCAATTCATCGTGTCACTTTATGAATACAATGTATCTAGACCATCCCTTCTGTCATTCTGCCCTATCTCTCCTAACCCAACCATCACAATCATCAATTTTCTGAACCTTTGTCTTAAATAAGTTCAAGTTAGTAATGTGCTCAGGAGGAGACATTCTAGAGGGAGAGTTCAACTATCCATTACCCATTGAGTTGTCTTGAGTTTAGAACCTTAATTTTTCAAAGCAAGATTATAAGGTAAGAAAATTAAAAGTCAGTGAAGTTTGTGATAATGGGGTTGGTGTGCATCTCTGTGTAGTGTGGGTGTAAGTGGAATAAAAAAGGGAGTAGGTGTTGAAGGGGAATGGGATCTGCATATTATAATTTCGATTGCTAATACTTGCCAACCACTGTTCTGGAAAGAAGCATGCATATAATGTATACTTTATATTACAATTTTTCTGTCATTAAAGATGTATATAACACAACTTGTAAATACTAATATAATTCTGCATTTCAATTATTGAAATGATTAGCAAAGAATGCTTTCCATTATTTTGTGATTTTTTTTGCAAATAAAAACCTGGCATAGTTCCAAATACATATATTGTTCCATATTTCCATTGACAATGAGAATGAAAGTGTATATGAAATAGAGGAATTTCACAATTTCATTCATTTTACATATATGTGACTGAATTTGTTTAATGAACTGGATAGCAGATTCTGTTTTGCATTTCAAATCGATGTAATTTCTTTCAAAAGAATTTAAAGACCTTGAGACTGCACCATCCAATGTGAGAGAATTGCAGGTAAGGGTAAATGTATACAATTTAGTTTATTGTCAACACATATGAATCTTCCTCTACCAAGAATTTCTAAGAATTCTTCAAATGTAGCCAGGAACAAGTAGCTCATGCCTGTAACCCTAACTACTCAGGAGGCTGAGATCTGAAAATCACAATTCAGAAAAGTCTACAAGACTGTTATTTCTGATTAACCATGAAACATCCAGAAGTGGAGCTGTGGCTCAAGTGTAGAGTGCTAGCCTTGAGCAAAAATGTTCAAGCACAATGTCTAAACCCTGAATCCCAGCCCCAGGACTGGCATAGACACAGACACAGACACAGACACAGACACACAGACACAGACACAGACACACAGACACACAGACACACACACACACACACACACACACAGAAGTTCTCAAAGTTGAAAATTTAATTTTCAATCTAGATCTGCCTCCCATAGCCTATAAATTTTATGAAGGCCACAGATAATGAATAGTAACTGTTTTGCTACAAAATTGTTCCCTATTCTTTGTTTTGTCCTTTAAACAATTTTTCAACCTCTTTGAACATCTCTTTTAAAATTTCCCCTTATCACTACTTATTGGGATACAAATTTTCCTGCTATGTCAAAGGAAGCACTGTCATGGCACTTTGTTTTTTGTTATATTCTCAGACTATATTAATTGTACAAAGAGGTATACAATTAATTGTGATGTCTTTATATTTGCAAAC